GGGAGCTTCTTGGGAGCTTCTTGGGCTGTCTTGGAGCGTCGGAAGGCTGAAAAGGCGAAAATGACGAAAACATCAAAAACAAAACAATGAAAATCAACGATTTTGGCCTCTTGGGGCGCTCTTCGGGGGCTTCTTGGAGGTCTCTTGGGGCGTCTTGGAGGTCTCTTCGGGCGTCTTGGAGCCCTCGTGGGGCGTCTTGGGGGCCTCTTGGGGCCTCTTGGGCGCTTCTTGAGGCGTCTACGCGGTCTCTTGGGGCGTCTGGGGGCCTCTTGGAACGTCTGGGAGGCCTCGTGGGGCGTTTTTGGCCCGTATTTGGGCCCTTTTGGGCCCGGAAGAGCGTCGTGAGTCGCTCGTAGTCGCCCCCCCCCCCCCACCCCCCCCTTCCAAATCGACCGGACCGGGTTCCCAGGGGAGGGGTTTGGGGAGGGGGAAGCATCTCACACGCCGATGACCCAAGGGGTCGGCGGATTTTCGAAGAGCGGTATTCTTTGACGTCGGCCTGCAGGTGGTGCGGACACCCCTCAGGCACGGTATCTCACCGACTTTACGGATGCGGCGGCTTAGGGGCATGGCGTCGTGATCAAGGATGTGATGAGGTCGTGTCGATCGGTCGTGAGTTCCCTGGGAATTGTCTAGTTGATTATGGCGTCACTGACAGTATGAGAGACGCCATGCCTCCGCCCTTGCAAGAACACGAATGTCCTCAGCGTGGTGTCCTCGTTTGTGGTTACCTTGGAGAAGAGATTTGTATTGACGGATCGGGAGCCAACCCATATGTGGAGTGGATGGCGAGGGCAGGATGGGCGGTCGTTTCTCTCAGGCAGTGCAGCGAGCAAGTTTCAGCGGTGGCCTACGGGCCTGTGCCAGGTCCTGTGTAGAGTGCCAAGCGCTACGCGTTCTACATGGCATTGTGTCTTATGGGGCCCAGGGCGACCATAATCACGGACAACCAGGACCTCATATTAGGTCTCCACCCTGGCAACTGGCAGGCTGACAAGTATGCGAAGTTGGGGGCTCTAGAGCATCCTGTGTGTCCCCAGCTGGATCGAAGGATCCAGGCTGCCAAAAACTTCGGCTGGCATTTATCGAGGGTCCTGGCAGGCTCTCTGAAGCGTCTCAGTAGTTTAGGGCTTCCAGATGTAGATAAGGTCCCGAGGGCTACAAAGGTCCCCAGGCAGACCCAGATGGCAAGCGAGGAAGCCCTGTGCGTGCTAAAACTCACCGCGGGGGATCGATGCCACCTGCTGCGCACAGCTGGCGGCAGGTGGGGATGCACAATGTGTGGAGTGAATGCCGCTCGTCGAAGCGCGGTCATCCAGAGCGAGTGTCCAGGCCAGCCGAGAGTGCTGGCGAGGACGCATGAGACTCATAGAATGTGGGTGATCGGCTCGGATTTGCATTTCTGCACGCAGTGCGGGTGCCACGCGCGGAAGCAGGTCAAGGACCTGGCCGCGCGTTGCCTCCGCTCTGCCGGGGCGGGGAAGGCTGGGGCTTTGAAGTGTGCGCGCCAGGGCGTAGATCCCACTTCCAAGAAGCGCGCGGGGCGCCCCTTCCCCGCCCATTAATGTTCCCCCGCGGGCCAGTCTTTCACTGAGGGATTGCGTCCGCAGAGGCTCCAGAGGCTCCAGGGAAGGGGGAGGGGGAGGAGGGGGAGGTAGGGGGATGGGGAGGAGGAGGAGGAAGAGGAGGAGGAGGAGGAGGAGGAGGATATGGGATTGGATTGGACTCGAGCGGAGACCAGGTCAAGCCTGGGCGCAGTCCAATCTCAAGGAGCAGGCCAGGGGACTCCGCACTTGGGCGTGAGTCCTCGCGAAAGGCGGCTCAGCACCTCTGCTCCCGCCTTGGTGGGGCGGCGTTGCGGGGGGCAGACTTTACAGGGGCCCCGTGTGTTCGCAGTGCCGAAACTCCCACAAACAACACAATTACGCACGCCCTCAAGAACCTCGAGGGTGCGCGCACTATCAGCTTGCATAGACAAGGGGTGGCAGGGGGGATCTTCAGGCGCCAAAGCGCGAGCCCCCGAACAACGACCAGGAAGGAAGCGTCTTAGAAGGCCCTTCATCGGGAACTTGCGTCTTCAAGCCGGCAGAACGCTTGACACAGGAGTGGCCTGCTGCAGGGAGGCGGGCCTTCCTGGTAGCGAAGGCCGACAGAGCACGGGGCTTGCGCAGGGCACGTCCAACGCGGACTGAAGCCATGCGCTTGCATGACTCAGCGACTTCCAAATTTATTGCAAGCAACCTACTTAGAATGGAGTGGGCCAGCTCATCTTGCTGTCGAACTCTCTGAACGACATCTTCTGGAATTGCATTGGAACCTGCGGCCCATCCTGCGAAGAAGCCTGCGCGCCAGTTCAGGAAATTCTCATCAGATTCGATTTCCGGAATTCCGCTGCATATCTGGGGTAGCATGATACTTAGTCCTTAGTGCCACATTGTTACCAGGCCCACGATTATTTAAAGCATGCCACGCTTGAGCCCGCAAGTCCAGCATGGGTGAGGCCTTAGCAATCGAGGAACGCGGTTTCGCCATGGCACGACGCAGCGGGAGATAGCCAGTGTAGCATGCAATGTCACCGCGCGTGTGATTGAGGGCCACGAGGAAGGCGAAGAGTTCGGCCCTAGGACTCGATTGCTCAGTGGTCGGGAGGGAACCACAATATATAGCATCTAGCCCAGGTCCATCACCGACAGGAGGTCCCAAACGGACAATTGCCCAACCACAACGTCTTAACCTATCGTCTTTGGCATGTTGACCTTCAGACCCATCGAGCCCCCACAGGCCTCCATCGAGCTTCTGAAGAGGCCCTAAGAGCCCCCAGGACCACGCCCGAGAGTAGTGAGCAGGAACCCGCCCAGCAGTAGAGGCAAGAGGTGGAAGACCTCGAGTCCACAGGGCACTGTCGGGGGCGGCAGCGTCAGCTTGAGGTCGCAGATGAGATGTGAGAAGCACGGCCGTATGACTCATGTATTCATTGCTGGGGCACTGCCGACATCTATGCATCATCGACTCTTTCTCATCTGCACACCTAGGGCACTTGCCCGAGGTCATGTACCCTGACGGGAGCAAACGCTCATCTGGCCAACAGGCCCCAAGTGCAAGTGTGACGATCATTGCTGCTCTCTGGTAGTCGCCGTCCTGCGCCAGCGACCGATGAAGCTTCCTGAATACAGTGAAGCCGACGCCGTGCTCGACTCCTGCCGCGCAAAAATGCTCGGGCGCCTTTGACCAAACCTGGGCTCTACACGTTTCACGAACCCGACGACCGAGATGATAGCGAAAGCCAGGAACCCCAAGTCGGAGATCGAGGGGCCAGGAACTTCCCAGATATCAATGGCCCTTGGAATCCAACCGAGGTCCAGGACAGTAACACACACGGCCGCAATAGGGCCCTTCACAAGCCTCCATTTTTTAGCCGCAGGTTTCTGGCCGAATGCTTCAGCATATCGAGACCATGTTCGACGGGCACCAGCCTGAATGCCTGGTGGCAGAGACCCCAGGCATCCGTCAACAGGGTAAGTCGTTCTACTCGGAGGCGAACAATCGGATCGTCGTTGAAATCACTCAGGACCTGAAGAACCGGAGTCGTACAAGCTCCAGAGCTCCAGAACCCTGAACATGCCGCAGCAGTGCCACGCAGCTTCTTCACTTCCCCAGGAGGGATCCCCATGGCCCCATGGCCCCACGTACAGGCTGACAGGATTCCTGGTATGAGAACCTTCCTTGAGCGTCCGCACAGCTGCGCCAGATATCTAAGCTTCAATCTTCTCCGAAAAGCACTGCCTCGTCTGGGCTTAATCCCCCAGGTGGACCGACGTCTAGTAAGGGTAGTAACAGTGCCAAGATCTTTCACGGATTCCCCAAAGCTCAGGACGAGGCTAAACTTGGCAAGCTCGGCGCGCATCATCTGCTGGACTGCCTTGCTGGACGCGAGGGCGGTAGACTTGGTTGAAATTCAGCAACCCAACTCCTCGACGCCATGCTGGAAGGAGGCTACAGCCTGGGGGGAGTACTTGGTCAGGAAGGCTGGCGTACCGCGCAGGAACTGCATAACGCCGTCACCGTAGGACTTAATTAGGACTCGGACCATGAGGCTCGTGTTGGGGCCTTCGGGGTGGGATGGTTGTTTCCCAGACGGAAGAGCCTTCTAGGCCGTTTGACTATGCAAGGTCGTTGTGGTTCGGTACATAAGGACATCTTAACATGTGAATATGCATGAGGTCTGTGATTCCGATAACATATACGCGAAAAGTGCATGTGTTTTGATATATCACGCGGATGACGGTACATAAAATCGCCACACAGACGCAATACCATTCGAAACCAGTTCGCCAAAGTTTGCCGATTGTGTTGCCGAGTTTCACGACCCAGTACGAAAATCACGTATATTTGTTGGTGAGTATTCGTATGGTCTCAAATACATAGTCGCTGTTTGCGGTTTGACATTGCTTTTGGGGGGGCGTGCACTGCTCTGTGCGGTTATGGAAGGACGAATGGCGGCAATGATAATTGCTAGGATGTCTCACTCCCTCTGCGGCCGCCGCGGACTCCAGGGCAGTCTTGCGCGACCACGGCTGCCGCCGCCAGAGGGCTCTCGACGCCCCCCGAGGCGGCAAACTCAAGAGAAACACCGTGCCTGGAGCTGAGCCGCTGCTGGTGCAGCTCTTCTGTCCTACTTGCCTGGGTCCTCCTCCTCCTCCGTTTTCCCTGTTTCTCCTCGGCATCCCGCCTACCCCCTCTCCTATTATCGTATTCCGTATTCGTATCATCCATCTTCCCTCCTCCTTTTACATTTCCCTTCGCTCCTCCTCTTTCTCCTCTTCTCACTCCCTCCTTCCTCCCTCCATCCCACTTCCCCTCGGACTCCTTCTCTCCCTCCTCCTCATTTCCTTCATTATCCTCCCATCTCCTCCTCCTCCTCCTCAAAAAAAAAAACTCCACCTCGGGCTCTGCCTCGATCTCAGCTCAGGCGGAGCTGTCCAGCGCACAGGCGCACAGGCTCAGCCTTGGGCGAAGCCAGCCTTCCCCGAGCGGATGGCCTCCTGCTTCTCGCAGTCGTCGCGGCCCACCCTCCCGCGGATGACAGGGAACGGCGCCGTCGACTGCATGTCGGCCGCCTCCGGCACGGGGATGGACACGTTGTACTTCTTCGCACCGACCTCGAACGATTGGACCGTGTACTTCAGCACGTGGCTAGCCAGAGGCCCGCGCTCGACGACGGACTCCTCAGCCTTGCGCTTCTTGCCCTTTGCAGAGGCGCCCTCTTTCTCCTTCGCCTTGGAGGCGGGGGGAAGAGGAGGATGAGGACGGCAGGGCGGAGGAGGTCGATGGGGGGGGCGAACTACTCACCCCTTCGATTGGACGGCCCTTCGATTGGATGAGTCGTTCGGTCCCCATCCACCTCCTCCTCTGCTGCTCCTCTTCCTCTTCCCCCATCCATGCCTTCTTCGGCGGAGCCCAGACAGCGGCGATCCACGCTGGGCAAAACTCCGTCGACTCCCCGTTATTGTACAGGAGGCCGTCGAGGAAGAGGAGGCTCTTGACCTCAGGCGTGCCATCCACCGCGACCTCCATGGGAATCGTGTTCTTGGGGTGCATCGTCTGCCCGTATGCCTGGGTCTGGACGCGGCCCCAGTATGGGATCGCGACTTTGCCCTCGGACGTCTGGCTCAGCACGGGGCGCGCTTCCTTGCCGCACTGGATCATGTCGGCGTCGGGCTTGTCGGACCCCTCGAAGCCGTTCTGCACGTGCATCATGTTGAGCTCGTTCAGGTGCGTCTGCACCTTACCAACCAAGAGCCTCTCCTCAACGCCAGTGATATTGAACTCCGCCTCCTCGTCTGCTTTCGCCTTGCTGGCAATTCTCCTAAGAGTTAGCTCCTCATCATCATCATCCAACGGCTCTGGTCCACCAGGTTTCATCGGGGTGACGGCCTGCTGCACCCGGGGGACGCACTCGTTGCGCAGCCCCTCGATGACCACGCTCCGCGCCGACGGTGCCCCCGCTGAGCCACTCGAGCACCGCGAGCTCCTTCTGGAACTTCGCCTGGGAGAAGGTAAGGAGAGAGGAAGAGGGGCATATTATCTGGGCAATGGGAGAGAGTCCTGAGACCTTGAGAAGAGAGGAGGAGAGAAGAGGAAGGGAGGGAGGAACTATTCGGAGGAGGAAGAGGGGGCAGGAGGCGTTCTGCAACCCCGTCACGTTGTACTGCTTCTGGTAGGCTGAGATGGCGTTAGCCTTCGTCATGCCGTACTCGAACGTGCTCTCGAATTGCGCCCACATAGCTCGGGAAAGCTGTGCCATGTCCATTTTCTTCAACTCATCCATGGTGGCGTCGTGGCTCTTCCTGACGCCGTCGACGTCGACCTCCGCAATCACTTGGGACATCTTGTTAATCTTATCGATCCACACCTTCACGAACTCATCCCATGGCATGGCAGCCTTCGTGTAGATCTCTATGACGGGGGTCATCTTGGTCACGTCATCAGCCATGACGGGGGCCATCTTGGAGTTGACGGCGTGGGACTCGCACGCAACCTTCAGCAAGGAACTGACGAAGCTCGATACCCATGGATCCATCTTGACCTCATCCCCAACTTTACGCTTGAAGTTCATCGTCCCTAAGTGCTGAACGACCTTGGCAAGGAGCTGCACTCGAACGTGCTTCGCGACGGCCGAATTGATCTTCATGTTGAGCACCTCCTTGAAGGCCTCCAGTTGTGAACCGCTCTCGGAAACCCGCTGCTTGACACTTTCATTATTCTGGAGCAGAGCCTCGCACTGGTCGATCGCCTCGTCGAACTCGCACGGGAGAACCTGCAAGACCTTAGCACGCGTCGTCGGCACGATGCCTTCCACCAGCAGCTTCGTAGGTGTCGTGTCTGCGTCGGTGTAAGTCCACATCTCCATCATCACCTCGTTGGAGATCCTCGCTGGCGCCATGTGGCAGTCGATGCTGGCAGATATCGGGTTCATCTTGAAGTAGTCCAGGACCTTCTTGACGAAAGGCAGCTGCTCTACCATCATGTTCTCGGCGACCTCCTCAGGAATATTAGCGATCGACCTGCATTGCGAAGCATCGCCACCATCGGTTGGACCCAAACCATGCGGGAAGCCAACGTCGGTAACCCGAGGGCCAGCAAGCTTCGCAGTGTTGTACACCTGCCTCTTGATGATCTTCCTGAGCATGCTGAACTTCTTCACGACCTGCTCCTTCCCGACGGCCTTGCCGTCCAAGATGACTTGCCCCCTCAGGGCAGCGAACGTGAACAACTTCTTGTGGGTCTCAATGTGGGGGTCGTCCGCGTTGATCTTCCTAAGGTAGCCCATGAGGTAGTCAACGCTCTCGGCATAGGTCTTCCCCACCTCTTGCACCTCATGGACCTTTGCAGCTGGCGACCCCTTGCCCTTGCCACGACCGCGGCCCTTGCCTTTCTGCTTCTCGGTGCTCTGCAGGGTCTGTGCTGAAGAGCCCGACGCAACGCTTCCACTGGCGATGGAGATCGAACTAGGCGTCGCTGGCGATGGGGCAGTATCCTCATTCACTCTCTCTAGGATGTGCGACTCCACGACTGCCTTCTGGTAGTCCTTGACCTCATGGCCGATAATCTCCGACACCTTACTCGTCCCCATGTCCCAAAGCAGCCCGTTCGTGATCATCGCTTCGGCGATGGGGCTGCTGAAGGCAGGGTTGGGCAAGCCCTCCTTGAGCACGGGGCACTTGCCGGATCGGCCTTCAGGATCCGACACAAAAAAGTTTCTCCTCCCCCATCCCACCCATCCCCTTCCCCCCTCTGCCCCCCCTCTCTCACCACCCCCTAGCCTCATCCTCTCCTCACCTGCCTCAGTTCACGTACTCCCCTTGGTCCCCTCTTAATCGGCCCCGAGCCAGGATGACCCAGGGACCCAGATGCAAAACTAAGCAGACCCCAGGTGATTCAAGATGGAGGAGGAGGAGGAGGAGGAACTGCATATCTTGAAAGTCGGAGGTGCGTTCTGTAAAACACCTCCGAATTCACAGAGAGGGGGGGAGGGTAGCTAACGGACAGTGCGACGATTGCCGCCAAAACAGTTGGCTTGGATTTTTGTTGGGCTCGGGGGTGTGAGTTTAACTTGCAGACCGATCCGACAGTGCATTCCTTCCTGCAACCTGATTAAAGGGAACGCCATCTCGAGGAGCAGGATCATCCTGTCGGGCTGGTCCTTGATTTGTTTGATGATCGTGGCGAGCGAAGCAAAGATCGTCCTGCGCTGCTCCACGTGCTTGCGAGTGAAGTCTACGTTGGCCTTGCACCAGTCCTGAAACACATCCCAGAAGGTAGCAGTCGGCCCGTGCGCCTCCATCGTGATCTTCTTCGCAGCCTATGTTGCATGTTATGATTACACTCACTCGACCAGGGTAGTAAGGATGCGCGGTGAGGATGCAAGGGCCTTGGAACGCCATGTTGACGTTTCCCGTGCGGAGCGCAGCAGCAGACCGAGGGATGCCGAATGCCGAAGGGGCAAGGATGCAAGGGTAGCTTTGGGAAGTTGCCCCATCATTACTATCATGGTTCACTCTATGTTGTCAACGTGCGTTTAGTCATTGTGTTATCATGGTTTAAACTCACGTTTATTTTTTATGTGTTTGTGGCCCCATCGGGGCTCAAAGGGCCCCCGCTGGCCCCCCGTGCCATCGCTGTTCCTGCCACCCACGACGGCCTTGTAAAAGCTCAGGCAGTTCTCGTACATCGGAGTGGAGTCCCAACGCTGGTTATCGAAGGCGGCCTGGAAGAGTGCCCTCTTGTTGGCCTCCATCGCGCCCTGCCCGATGCTCCCGTGGCTCCACCCGTAGTCGATCTTCTGCTTCTCCCACAGGGCCTCCACTTTGTCCGTCGACTCCATCACCTCGATGAACGTGGTCGCGAGCACCTTCGTGTTCATGGAGTTCTCAAGGGACACCAGCTTCTCGAGGATGTCGGTCGGAGTGTCGACGGGGAAGATCGTTGTGTCCTTCAAGCCAGTTCTCGCGCTCATCTGAACCTTCGCGTTGAGCTTCTTTGGGTCCCTGTCATAAGCACGCTTCATTCCATCGCAACGGGGACCCCAATGCAGAGTAGTGCACGTAGCAGACGGGCTGATTGGATTCTCCTTCGCGGTTGCCTTCAGCCACGCGCCGCCGCCAAGGCCGTGAAGCAAGCCCACGGTCTCGATGCTGACGGCCCTCTCCTCGATGGTAGCGTCGTCACCGCGAGCGCTGTTTGTCTTGTCCCGTGAGATGGCCCACTGGCCTGCCGAGTTGATGAAAGGGACATCGAAGTGCAAAACGATTGGGTAGAAATGGAAGATGATTTGCATCAGCTCCAGGCCCGTGCACCCTGCGAAGCGCTCCTCCGCCGTCTTGAAGGCACCGTCGTTGCTCCAGACCTGCTCGCGGCCGAACTTCAAGAAATCAACGCCGTGGCCCTCTGGGGGCCCGACGCGCTGGCTGGGCGAAGCACTTCGTTCAGAGTTTTATGTATCGATCTGTTTTTTTGTGTTTGATCTCTAGTCGCTCTCACTGTTTGCGTTCGTGCTTGCTGGGGTGTTGCGCGGCGCGCCTGCTTTTGTTTGTTCAGTGTGCGTTTTTTTGTATGCTGTTTGTGTTGTTTGCTCGGTTCGTTATTGTTTTGTTTGATTCCGTCGTTTCTGTTGCTTCAAACTTTGTTTTTCCCCCATTAAATGCGATGCCGAATGTTGTCGCTCGAACTTGCCTCCTGGGTGCCTCGATTTGTTTTGCTTTAAAGTTTGGACGTTCGGGCCTACGTTGACCCCAGGCCGCGCTGTCGATCACAGCGCGCCTCAGTTTTTTTATGTGACAGCTGTTGCCAAATCAACTCCTGCCAAGACGTGCGATTTGACAACAGCTGTCAAATCGCATAGCTATCAAGACGTCCATTTGGCAGGGGCTGTCAAGTCGAGGCCTGCACCCCCCCCTGGATTTGACAGGCGCTGTCAAATCACATAGCTATCAAGACGTCCATTTGACAGGGGCTGTCAGATCGAGGCCTGCGCACCCCCTGGATTTGACAGCACCTGTCAAATGGACTATGTGATTTGACAGGTGCTGTCAAATCCAGGGGGTGTGTGCCGACCTCGATTTGACAGCCCCTGTCAAATGGACGTCTTGAGCTATGTGATTTGACAGGTGCTGTCAAATCCAGGGGCGTGTGCCGGCCTCGATTTGACAGCCCCTGTCAAATGGACGTCTTGGTAGCTATGTGATTTGACAGGTGCTGTCAAATCCAGGGGTGTGTGCCGACCTCGATTTGATAGCCCCTGTCAAATGGACGTCTTGGTAGCTATGTGATTTGACAGGTGCTGTCAAATCCAGGGGTGTGTGCCGACCTCGGTTTGACAGCCCCTGTCAAATGGACGTCTTGATAGCTATGTGATTTGACAGGTGCTGTCAAATCCAGGGGTCTGTGCAGACCTCGATTTGACAGCCCCTGTCAAATGGACGTCTTGATAGCTATGCGATTTGACAGGTGCTGTCAAATCCAGGGGTGTGTGCAGACCTCGATTTGGCAGCCCCTGTCAAATGGACGTCTTGAGAGCTACGAGGTTTGACAGGTGCTGTCAAATCCAGGGTTGTGTGCCGACCTCGATTTGACAGCCCCTGTCAAATGGACGTCTTGATAGCTACGTGATTCGACAGGTGCTGTCAAATCCAGGGGTGTGTGCCGACCTCGATTTGACGGCCCCTGTCAAATGGACGTCTTGGTAGCTATGTGATTTGACAGGTGCTGTCAAATCGCACGCCTTGTAAGGCGTTGATTTGACAACAGCTGTCAAATCAACATCTGGACTAAGATGGTTCGCAGTAGACCTCATCAAGCGAAACAGCACCACATGCGTATTACTAATACTGCAAGGCCGCTGTTTTTTTTTGTTTTGTTTTTTTTTGTTTGTGTTTTTGTTGTTGTTTTGATTGTGTTTTCGGGATATTGTTTGTAGTTTTATTCCTCGTGGGCTCGTGCTCACGTGGTGCATGGATGTGCGCCCTGACATTGCATTCAGCAATGTGTCCCCTGCCTCCCATCACACCTGCTAGTCTTACCGCCCTAGTGATCCTGCCCCTTGCTCCTCCTCCTCCTCCCCCCCCCTCCTCCTCATCCTCGGGCTCCTCTGGCCAGCGGGGGCCCTGAGCCAGCGGAGCGGCCGCTCCTGCACCCGCCGCGCTCGGCAGCGCCATCACCCACGACGCGAGGTAGTGCAGCCTTCGGGGCGGTTCGGCGGGTTCCTCCTCCTCCTCCTCCTCTCCTCATGTTATCCTCCCCATCCTCGTGTTGAGCCTCATAGTGTTTTGTTTTTGTTGGAAATATCTGCTACTCCCTCCACCCAGTATCCTCCTCATAATCCGCCTCCCTCTCCGCATTATCCCCCCGGCCACCCGTGGCCATTTTGGCTCAAGCCCGCGGGGTTGGCGTTTGCGATGCCCCGGGCGGCCTGCGTCAACAGGCCAGCGCCGCGCAGGCAGCGCGCTGCCATGGAGGCTCGCCCATAGCCGCTGCAGGCCCATCATCGACGCCCAATCGCCTCGCCGCCCACGCAGAGCAGGTCGGGTGCCACAGCGAACAGCACGAAGAGCACACAAAACTCGGTTCTGGCATTGGACACCCAGGAACAACTGGAGTACCGCACAACAAGCACGGCGACACACCTTGGGCAATTTCTTGAGGCCCACTGCATTGTTTAGCTTGGTGGAGGTCTCGAAGAAGTAGGCACCATGAGGGCATGGTATCCCGACCTGGCCTGGGCTTGAACATCCGCACTGGCACGTGCGCGATCACCAGCTTGCAACCTATATAGCTTTGCTCTGGCACTCCGAGCCCAGTTGTCGCACCCTTCTTGGCTGGCACCACGTACTTGACCCTATTTGATTTGTCGAGGGACACCGGTCCTCCATCGAAGCTGCCGTAGCTACTCCACTTGACGAACAACACGAGGTAGCCACCATCACCCGTGATCTCCATCGTGATCAAAGATATACACCCATCTTGGGGATCCCGAACGCTATGATCTCGAGCCAAGTCGACAGCGAGCTGCACGTCTCGTTTCTGAACTCTGCATTTTTCGAGGCACGCATCTGTAGCTAGAAGCTGGTCGTCCTGATTGAGATGGTTGAATGGGTGTGCCACGTCTGCTGCTGATGGACCTGGGGCTGGTGGTTTCCCGCCGTCGGGCTCATGATGCGGAGGCGGTGGAGGTGGTGGAGCTGCGAAGCCCTCGTCCCCAGGCTCTTCATCTTCAGATTCGCCGCCGTCGGGCTCGGACCCTACCTCCTCGTCGTCACCAGGGGCGCCGACATCGTCGATGCCAGCTTCCTCTAAGAGGTGATCGAGCTCCTTCTCTAAGTCTACGGTGTCCTCACCATCTTGATGCCCTGCTGCGTCGCCGCCGTCACCGAGAGGAGGGTGGGGCTCGCCATCTCCTGGCTTGGGTCGCTTCTTTCCTTTTGGGGGCATCACCTTCTTCAGTGGTATCCCCGCGGCCTCTGCGCTGTCGAGATGAACCGCGGCTGCAACTCGAGAGATCCATGTCAGACGATAGTCGATGACGACAACAGCGCTGGCAACATTCGGAGGTATGTCATCAATGAGGCCTGCCACGACGTCAACGGCCCGACGCGTTGAAATGGGGGCCTGCAAGTAGAACATCATCGCGCCGATTGCGTCTCGCTTCATTTCGCCAGCAGAGGTGCACAGCATATTGAAGTAAGTGGCAGCCCATAGATAACCATCACCAGGATGAAAGGCGTCGCGCTCCATATCAAAATCGTTTCGCACGATCAGTCTCCTCATCCGGCGTGCACCACAACCGGAATCTGATTTCAAGTGCCGGCAGATGCGCGCAGCCCGCAGGATGACCATCGGCGGTTGCACACGTGGCTGCTCGGGTTCTGCGCTTGCGTGCTCGACGATCTGAAGGGGTTGGAATCGGAGAGAGCACCCCCTGGAGTTTTCACATTCAACGATTTGCTGGTGAAGCGATACACAGGTCGATGGACTCGGAACGGTGCCCTTCTTAAGCGAAAGTCTCGCACTAGCAAGTGGCAGTAGCATTGATGGAGCTCTCTTTGCCATGGTCTGCAATCTGTTGTGGGTGCCTTCCACCTCCTGCGCATCACTTGGCCATTGCGACCGAACAGCAAGCACGGCATGATACAGCTTGTATGTACATCGCCCGTCGACCCTCGAATATTGAACGTCTTCCAAAAAAAGCTTCTTCAGCTTTATGGCTAAATCCGAATGTGAGGCTGACAACTCGGCGCCCGTCTTCTCTATCCACTCATTGGCTACGCATTTCCTTGCCTCGCAAGGAATGTCAGGGCCCTGCTCGGTAAATACAAGTATTTTGCATGGAAAATCTTGAACGACTCGCATTACTCGCATGCCCCATTGTGAGGCCCCTTGAATGACAAAGGACACAAAGAGCATCGAACCCTCACTCCGATCACTCATCTGACCAACACAATGTTCCAGCATAGGCGAATCCATTGTCAACAACTCTGAGTGTTTGGCAGCCAGTTCCTCTGCTTTTCCAGCAACAAAAGAAGACATCATAGTAGGCCCTAAATACACCGAGCTCGTTGATTGTTTTCTGGCGTCATTTTCCTCCTTTGTTTTTTTCTGCGTCCAGAAGAAAGCTTGGGGCACCACTGACTTGGCGACGTACGAAAGCTGAATCGTGGCCCAGAACACTTTGTCTCCCAGTAGCTCCCGAGTGATGCGGCGCCACCGCCCCGCTTTTGCCTTGGGCGGGCGAATGTGATGGTGTGTGTGCATATATCGATACATGTATATAGTATATAGGTATGGAAAAATGTTGATGTGTTGTTGTGTTTTTTATATGTATTTATTGTTCGCTGTCCCCAGTTGGTCAGAGCCCGCGCCCGGTACCCCGCCTCTTCGTCGTCGGGGTCTGCAACGACCTGCGGGCGAAACGCAGGAAAAAAGTTTGATGCGTGGGCCAAGCCGCTCGCATCGCTGACCCCCCCATGACAGAGGAACCCGACGCGGGAGCAGGCTGGCTTCGCCACATAGTTCCCAACCAACCTGTGTTGTTGGGTCATCGTTTTGAAGAGACGGTGCCCCGCGTCTCCTCTCCTCTCCTCCTCTCCTCCTCCGCCTCCTCTCCCCTCCTGTCATCCTCTCCTCCTCTCCTCTTCACCCACCCAGTGCACCGTTTCGTGGCTCCATAGGGAGCTCCACCGAAGGCCCCATGGTGTGTGTGCATATATCGATACATGTATATAGTATATAGGTATGGAAAAATGTTGATGTGTTGTTGTGTTTTTTATATGTATTTATTGTTCGCTGTCCCCAGTTGGTCAGAGCCCGCGCCCGGTACCCCGCCTCTTCGTCGTCGGGGTCTGCAACGACCTGCGGGCGAAACGCAGGAAAAAAGTTTGATGCGTGGGCCAA